GGGAAAACCCTAGCAGTAGCGCGGGTATTTTGCCTATCAGTAGCGCGTGATGACGCGCTACTGATAAGGCGCTACAGCTAACGTGTAGCAGTAGCGCCTGTCGTCCCATGCTACTGCTATACATGGATAGCAGTAGCATGCTTTAGTGAAAAGCACTACTGCTAATATCTGCAGCGCTTTTTATAAGGGAGCGCTACTGGTAAGGCAGCGCTACTGCTAACTTTGTTCCCCTCGCTACTGCTAGTTTTATTAGTTTTTTTTCTGCTATTTGTTTTGTATTTGAATAGGCTTTATAAAATAATCTTTAGCATATCATACACATACAAATGTAATCATAGCATATACATACAACTAGTCCCATCAAATCATGTCATCATCATAATCATCATCCAACACAAATTGATCTCTCGTCATCATCTCAAAAATAGCGATACAAGTCTCGATTACTTGCAACTACATCGTCATCCATCTAAACAATGATATGCGCGAGAAGAGCTATCACTTTGAGTGAGAGCGGAACTATGTGAGGTTTTACTCTGTGTGATTAAGATGGCCGCAGATTACCTCAAACCAAGGACCCAAACTTTAGTAGTGTGCACCCAAGGATTCAAAAGGATAGAAGGGCTTATCCACATCTTAAGGACTGCATTGGTGCACTAGATGGTACTCATGTCCGAGCGTCCATTCCTACTGGCGACCTAGTTAGATACATTGGAAGGTCGGGATAAAAAACACAGAATGTTCTGGCAATATGTGATTTTGACATGCATTTCATGTACACCTCAATTGGTCAACCTGGTTCTATGCATGATACCAGTGTCTTGTATCATGCAATTGAAGCTGACAAAGATACCTTTCCTCATCCTCCAAAGGGTTAGTAGTTCCTATAATAATTTCATCGATTCAAATTCTTAAACAAATCATAGGCCTTACATGCAATCTGCTTGTTGTTTGTAGGTAAGTACTATCTTGTGGATGCAGGCTATCCTAATAGACCTGGATATCTGGCACCTTACAAGGGAGAGAGGTACCACGTTCCTGATTTTCAACGAGGTGTGGCTCCAAGAACACATAAGGAGAAATTTAACAAGATACACTCATCCAAGCGTAATGTGATCGAGAGAGCGTTTGGCGTGTGGAAAATGAAGTGGCAGATTCTACTAGAGATGCCAAATCATTCAGTTGAAACTCAAAAGATGATAGTGGCTGCAACTATGACCCTTCACAACTATATTCGATATCATGATAAGGGTGACCTTCACTTTCTTCGAGTCGACAGAGATCCCAACTATGTCCCAACTATCCCTTCAAGGTATCAACGCTACGCCATCCCTCCAAATGCATCAGATGCGTCAACATCAGCGGCTAGCGATAAAGACATGGACCAGTTCCGTAATAGACTAGCAACTGATATTGCTCTTGGTTGGTGACTTTCGCTTCTGCTATAAATGTGAGTACACACTCCCCATGCATGTGTTTATATTTGTTACGATCCTATAGTTTTTATCTTGCTTGATCAATTCATGCTTTCTTAGATAACTGGGTGTGAAGTTAAACATGTGAATGTTGTCTCCAAACAAGTCAAAAGTGTTCAGTGGCTTTGTCATTCGCTAAAATATTAGCGACAATATTACTTGTCATTTATTTCCTTGTCGCAAGACGCATTAGTCTAGAATCTGAAAGACGTTAGCTAGTTCAGTGACTACCTGATTCTGCTTCTTTCACATATTCTATGTCTTTTTGTAACTATTAACAAATTTCATAATTTTGTAGGTGAAATTAGTTGAAGAAGAGTATATATGTTTTGGTTCTATTCAAGCAATCACCACCGTGCATAAATATTTTCATGTCTTGAAAATTGTCTCCATGAGCTTCACTGGAACTAGATTGATGTCTACAATATTCATATGTTTATGTGGTTTTTGTTCGTGTTTGTCATCTGAAAACCCTATTTGTGCATGTTGCTAAAATCCTGTAATTCCAGCAAACTCACGCTGAAGTGTTTCTGTGCGATAAATTTCATCATGTGTGAAATTTTGTACATAGAAATTATGTGTGAAATACAATATTATTTTCAGTAAACTGAGCATTTTAGTGCAATTTTGTGCATTATATTGCATCCTTGGCACAAGTGAACACGTGCACGTACTGAGCAGTGGCAAACCAGATCGATGTGGGGTGGGAAGCAAGCGATCCAGAGTACGGGAGTGGAGTTGGTTGCCAAACATGTTGTCTGCTCCTGATTATTCATGAGGAGCTGGCTATCCAGGAGCGGGGAGTGGAGCTGAGGAGTTGACAGAGTGGAGCTGATCGATGATTTCCACACCAGATGTTAATTCTACTGGAGTGGAGCTGAGGATGTGACATGAAAAAGTTCACTAGAATTAACATCTGGTGAGGAAATCATCATGAGAATGAGAGAGAGAGAGAGAGAGAGAGAGAGAGAGAGAGGAGATATCAGGACTAGGGTTTCCCCCTTCCCACCTCCCGCCGGCGCCGGCCGCCGGCACTGCGCCCCACCTCCGCCCCCTTCCTCCCTCCCCTCTCCCCCGTCCAGTCCCGCCTCGCGCCGCCTCCCCGGGAGGTGGCCGGGGCGGAGCTCGTGCCCCTCCTCCGCGGGCCTCCCCTTCCCCCTTTTCCGCTCGCCGCTGCCGGCGGTCGCCCCCGGCGCTGGCCCGGGTGGCTCCGACAGCGGCGGGCCTTCCCTTTCCCGCGCGCGCGTGCTCCCTTCCCGGGGCAGGGAGGCGGCGGCGGTGCAGCTCGGCGTGGCGGCGGTCCGGCTGCCCTGCGGCGGTGGCCGGCGGCAGGCGTGGTGGCGCCGCTCCTTGGTGGCGGGGCGGCGTAGTGGTGCTGGGTGGCCGTCGTCGCGACCCCGGCCCAGATCTGGGCCCGGCAGGCCCCATCTGGGTCCTAGCGGGCCGGCTTCCCGGCGTGGCTTCGTCGTCGTCTGTGTGGTGAGGAGGAGGAGCGGCTCGGATGGGGGGCTGCGATGCCGATGGCGTGCCGGCTGCAGCGCGATGGCGGGAGCTGTCCGGGAATGGAGTTCCCGGCCGGGCCTGTGGGCACATGGGCCTGGTAGGCTCCTGCTTGTGTGTCCGGTCGGCTACCGTTGTTGACGGTGGAGGTTGTGCCCTCCCGCGTGCTGACGGTGCTGCGGCCCCTAGTCCCGGCTTCTATCCCTTGTCATGCAGACCTCACCTCATGGTGCCGTGGTGAGACGGCGTGGAGGCTTCTTGACCATGGTGGCGCAAGATGGTGGTCGGTTTGGTGGCAGGCTCTGGAGCACCCGAGGTGAAGGTTGGGATCGGGGGAAACCCCTGTCGGCCTGTCCGACACCGACGCGGCGACGCAGGTGGGTGTCGCCGGACCTTCCTGGAGGGCGTCGGGGGCGACCCTTCCTTTCGCCTCGTCGGGTACCAGGGGAAACCCTTGGCAGCAGCGTCGTCTTCGTCGCGGTCCTTCTTGAAGGTGCTGATTGGTACCCGTGCTTCGGAGCCATGGAGCTTGGTGGGAGATCCTCGGTGGGCGCAGTGGTCGTGAAGCTTCTTCGTTTCCGTCGATCCGCCGTTGTCGGCATTCTTTTTTTTTTGTTTCTCTTTCATTTCTTTTGGGTGTGATTGTGCTGCTTCCGTCCCAGCACCTATCCTTGGATGTATTGGTTGGTTGCTTTGAAATACAAAGCGGGGGGAAATCCTTTTTCTTGAGGAAATCATAGTGAATAAAACAAAAGAAAAAAATACAATTGAGATTGCTCGCACTAGTTGCTTGGCGAAAAGAAGAAGAAAAGTAAACCTCTGACCAAATCGACGCAACTCCCCAGTCCCCACTCATCTCCTGTTGCAAGCTGGCTAGGTCTAGGTCTTGGCGCATGAACGCTGCCGACGATGCCGCCGGAATCGCCCGCCACAGCTGCACACGTCTCCATCCACTAAACCACGCGAGTGAGGCGTGAGATGCAGTGACCCGCCGCCGCAGCCGCAACCGCAGCACACCGATCCTATCCCATATCTATGCGAGTCACGACGGCAACGGAGTGGCTCGCCGCGCAGCCCACGCCTCCATCCCCATACCCATGCGAGCGAGAAGGGAGCCGGAGTGGCTCGACGCTGCAGCCCGCTCCTCCGTCCACAGATCCACGCGGGTGAGGAGGCATCCGGGGTGACCCGCCGCAGTCGTCATCGTCCTTGCCGCCGCGGCAGCTTGCCGGTGCCGCTGGCCTCCCCGCTTGAAGACGACGACCTCCTGGGGGAGATCCTCTTCCGCCTCCCGCCGCAGCCCTCCTCCCTTCCACGCGCCTCCGCCATCTGCAAGCGGTGGCGATGCGCCGTAACCGACCCCAGGTTCCACCGCCGCTTCTGCCAACACCACCGGGAGCCCCCACTCCTCAGTTTCTTCGTGGAAGGCGTGGATGGATCATTGCTAGGCACCGAAAGTACTAAGCGCGACCCGTACCGCTCTCCAGGTGCAGGGGTCTGCACATGCACACGCAAGCGTATTGACTGGGGAGCTCCTGGCTCGTGTTAGGGTCTCGACGAAGGGTTCAAAAATCAAAAGGTTGTGGCTATTAGGGTCGCAATTAAGCTCGTACATTTGTAAACAAATATAGGGGGGGGGGGCATTGGCCCCCTTGGCCCCAATGAAGCTCGACCAAAGTCTCAACAACATGCCTAGTGCAAGACATTCAAATGTTTATGAGTTTTGACATGTTTTTATTGTCTTCTTCTCATCTGAATTGAAAATATCTTCGCCATAGGCGAAGAGACCGCCCCCGCAAGCCGCCACAACAGGCAGCTGCAAGGAACGTGCACGCATGCTAATGGAGGCCGCACCACGCGCGACCACAACCATGGAAACAAGCAGAAGGAACGACCACAGGTGGCGGCCACCGGACAAGGGACCGATGAACGAAGCTGCAAAAGGACGAAGCACAAATGAAGGCCAAGGCATGTGCCCCACGCCTACAAGGCAATAATGAGCAGCGCCTTGCAAATACCACAGCCATGGGGCCTACAAAGCGCCACACCACGCGTCTCCATCCCCAAATCAAAGCCACTGAGGATGGTGTTGGAGTGGTCAACCACCGTCGTAGCAGTAAGCGCCGCAGCATCCGGATCCAGGCGAGTGAGGGGAGCGACCAAGTGACTGACGCGAGCGAGAAGGGAGACGGCATGTCCCGCCGCCACCGCGGTATCTCGTCAGAGCCGCCTGCCTCCGTGATTGAAGATGAAAATTTCCTTCGGGAGATCCTGCTCCACCTCCCCCCGGACCTACACTCACTCTCCTGCGCATCCGCCGTCTGCATGCGGTGGCAAGACATTGTCGTCAATCACAAGTTTGTCCGGGGGTTCTATGCACTCCACCGCAAGCTGCCCCTCCTCGGCTTCTTCCCCCGTGACGAACGTATCATGTTCGCCCCCGTCCAGGTCCCCACTCCCAACCGCATCCTCCCTGGGAGTTTCTCCTTAAACGACACTACAAGAACTCCTAGGTTAGCAAGGCGCTGGATTCCCTCCACGGCGGCGTCCTCCTCACCCACTGGGTCATCGTTAACGGTTGGGTGCGTGAAGAGGTTGTTGTGTGTGATCCTATTACCAGCAAGTAGCAACATCGTGTGTCCATTCCGATGGGGTTGAACAGAATTGGTGGCTTGGTCAATGGGGTGGTGTTCTGCACCCCTACTTCCCATGATCACATGGACGACAGTTGCCACTCATTCCCCTTCAAGGTGGTCTTGCTGTTCTACAGAAGCTATAAGCATCCATACGCCTGCGATTATTCCTCCGAGACTGACACATGGGGCAATATCATCTCAACAGAGGCTCCAGATGATACTCCTTTTGGTGTTTGTCCTAGGACCCTTATAGGTAATGCCCTTTACTGGTCGGCTAAACATAAGGGAGACTCCATTCCTCAGTTTGATTTGGGCATGCAGAACCTAGCCATTATCAAGGGGCCTCCTGGCATGAACATGGATGATTTCGACAACTTTCATATCATTCATGCAAAGGATGGCGTTGTTGGTCTTGTTGCATTGTCTCACCTTGAGCATCAAATGTGGGAGAGGAAGGTTGATTCTCAAGGTGGACCAACGGCAGCACCAGCGGGAGGCAGGAGACGAGGCGGACCAACTGCGGCACCGGAGACAAGGCGGACCAACGGCGGCACCGGTGGGAGGCAGGATAACCCTAGACTTTTCTTGGGGAGGAGGCATGTGGACTTTAATCTATTGAGTCAAAGGTGGAGATTGTTTAATGCCTCGACTACTCCATCGGCCTCACCTTATAAAGGGACCAGATCTAGGGTTATAGAATTGCCTAACTGACTTAGAAGTTGCATTAGACAGGGAGTCCCGAGGGTGCCTGTCAAGTCTAGAATCTTCTAGGTAATGGGCTTCCTGCCGAGTGAAGGGCCCATATCACAATGTGGTCTATTGGGCCTAGGCGTCGGCCTGGTGGACCGGCTTCCCAGAGGCCTAAATGTACCGTCAGTAACCCCTAGCTCGTATGAAATTCAACCAACTTCTAACCGAGCTTCATCTTGATTAGTGCGATGAAGTCCTGACGGGTGTTCTTCGAATCTTGTGGCCGACCACCCTGTCTTCATTCCATCCCGCAGGAGAGGTCACAAAAGGCCCATGCTTTCTTTATATTGACCTCAACTGAAGCTTCATGAAGGATGTGTGAGAATTTGGAGGATGTTGGTACTGATGGGGCATAAGTTCCAACTGGCTCTAGGTGGCTCCAGTGGCGACGCCCAAGGGCGTTGTTAACTTCATGAAGTCATTGTTGCGACAAACCTCTTGTCCTCCTAATTTCTGAGCAAAAGTTCAACGATGATGGGCGCATGTGGGCATCATGACATCTTCCTTGGGGCATCGCAGTGGAACCTTATCCTCGATGATGATGGTGTTGTCGAGGGATTCGACAACGGTGCCTAATGGCGTCGCAGCACTGCCATGTGCTCCCCTCGTGTTGGTCATGTGGTATGACCATCCATGATTGACTGTTCATCCCCTTCTGGTGAACTCCTTCACAAATTAGCATCCTTTTGATCCTCCTCCAAAATGTTCACCTGGCCACCATTTGGTGCGCCTGTTGTTGTGTCATCCCCTTCGCACATACCTTGGGAAACAACCAGCCTTCCCTTGGAGAATATCATCGGTGGCACTCTTTGAGATCACACCATTTCTTCATCACTTGTTCTCCCACTCTCTTGGGCAATGACCAGCCTTCCAGTGGAGGATCTTTGTGTCTTCGTGCATGCTCAATGAGTCAAAATATCTCTCGTCTTCATTTGTAATTGATATTGACAATGACCACCCTCTGGGTTGTGCGTCTGCGGGGTTGTAAATGGTGGATGACCCTGATGACGACTACTCGTGGTCCTTGTCGGTGGTTTCGGAATTATCTTACCAGAGCTCTCATGTGGTGTTTTTCACCCTATGCACCCCACGTCCATGTCCTAGTGTTGCCTTGTATGTTCTTTTTTTTGACTGAATATGGTTGCCTTGTATTATGGTTAAGACATGTTGCATCACTCAACTCCCTAGGTTTGGAGGTTGTTATTTGTGTTGGGTTGATACCATGTTTTTATGTGTTATTATTGCTTCGGCAAGATGTATTGCCATGGGGCTTGTATGGTTCAACGGTTATTTAAAAGAAATTATTTTATGCCACGCAGAGTATTGAGGTTCCGCTATTTCAGTGCCTGAGCTTGAAGTTCACATTCAGCCGCAAAAAGAAGTGTACATAAACATCTGCAAAGTCTAGTACACGCTACGTGTGTTCATCGGAGCGGATTGAAGAAGTGAAAGACCTGATTAAGTTAGCTAGGTCTAGGTCTTGGCGACGCCCAAATGAACGCCGCCAATGATGCCGCCGGAATCGCCCGCCGCCGCTGCACGCGTCTCCATCCACTGAGCCACGCGAGTGAGGTGGCAGACGCGGTGACCCGCCGCCTCAACCGAAACCGCAGCAAGCAGCTCCTTCCCAGCTCCACGCGAGTGACGACGGCAACGGAGTGGCCCACCGCCGCAGCCCACGCCTCCATCCCAAGGCCCATGCGAGCGAGGAGGGAGCCGGAGTAGCTCGACGGTGCAACGCGCTCCTCCGCCACAGATCCATGCGAGTGAGGAGGCATCCGCAGTGATCCACCGCAGTCGTCCTCGCCGCCGCGACAGCTAGCTGGCGGCGCTGTCCTCGCCGCTTGAAGACGGCGATCTCCTGAGGGAGATCCTCCTCCTTCTCCCGCCGTAGCCCTCCTCCCTTCCACGCGCCACCGCCGTCTGCAAGCGGTGGCGATGCGCCATCACCGACCCAGGTTCCACCTCCGCTTCCACCTCCACTTCTGTGCACACCACCGGAAGCCGCCCCTCCTCGGTTTCTTCGAGCAGAGCGTCGATGGTATCGTCTTCAAACCTGTCCTGGACCCTCCCGACTGTATCCCTCCTTAGCGCTTCGACATGCGACTCCACGGCATTGACAGTCGCAGTGGCACGGGAGTCGGACTGCTCAGGTGCCGCCACGGTCGCCTCCTCATCATGCCCTCACGAGATGAAGATCTTATTGTAATTGCTCCCATAACCGGCGAGAAGCTCCGCCTGACCGTCCCGTCGAAGTTCAAGAGGGGCTACTACCTCGATGGGGTGGTGCTCGGCGCTGCTGCCGACCACAACCATGTGCACGGAAGCTGCCACTCAAGCCCATTCAAGGTGGCCGTGCTCTCCACGAGCACCCACAATGATGGTCCACATTCCACCTTTGCATGTATTTACTCCTCCAGACTGGCATATGGAGCGATCTAATATCAATGCCGACTCCATATCGGGCTTCATGGCATTGATAGGCGTGGGTCACTTATTGGTAATTCACTTTACTGGATGTGCAGTCAGGGAAGTTACATAGTTGAGTTTGATTTGGATGGGCAGAGCCTAGCTTTGATCAGAGCGCCTCCGAGGATATCCGCTTGGACATGCGTGAGATCATCCAGGTGGTGGATGGCGTTATTGGTACCGCCATATTGTCTCACTATTACCATAACATTCAAAAGTGACAAAGAGGGGTCAATTGTCAGGGTGTTACCAAATGGGTGATATGGAAGACCATTGATATGCATAACGTTCATGGGATCCCTCATGGGAATGAAGGTGAGAGGCCAGAGTTGATATTCTGACTGAGATATGCTGAGGATACTGATGATATATTTCTCCATGTGGGCGACAGTGTCTACGTGGTTTAACTTAAGTCGATGCATTCTAAGAAACTTTGTGAAACCTATTATATTGTGTACCAACATTCTTTCAAGAGTTTCTATATGGCAGGTGATTATTCTCCAACAGTCCTCATACGATAGGAGTAGTAATCTAATCTTATTATATTTCGTATTTCGTACATAGGTGTTTGAGTACCTTCGCTTGACTGATGACTTTATAGCTGTACTACTTAGTATATGTTATCATTTAAGTTAGCCGTACTTTGTGTTATCATTCAATATAGTTGTCTTCATCCTTGGGAGAAAAAAACCAAATATCAAATGAATGAGCAATAATGTAAATTCGAATGTCAAATGGTTAACTCATTCGGCATATTTGGAACCTCAACTACTCCCTCGGTTTCTAAATATAAGTATTTTTAGAGATTCCACTATGAACTACATATGGAGCAAAATGGGTGAATCTACACTCCCAATGCATCTATATACATCCGTATGTAATCCATAGTGAAATCTCTACAAAGACTTATATTTAGGAACGGAGGGAGTAGTTGTATTATTCTATCAGGTACTTTTAATCCTTCTATTTTTCTTATAACTGCATAAAAGGACTTCCGTCGAAACCATAGATTCCGGTATAATATTTTCTTTGTCACTTGTTCAAGATTATCCTAGTTTTCATGACCATGACTAATACATTTCTAAAATACCTTTTTTCTCATGTTTGTTATTTTTAATCAGCTTCCTTAAATACCCAAAATATTTTTTGTTGGTAGTGTTAATGATTTTTGGCATGTTTTTATTTTGTTTTATTCAAATGCGGAGGAATGAGTTAAATTCTAGACCCTTCCTTGATTGCTTAAAAGCTATGTATACATTACACTGCTTGAAAAAAACATTCCTTGCACAAAGCAACATATGTAGTTTTGTTTATCTGTGGCCAATAGTCATTTATAAATCATAAATACCAAGTGAGTTGTCTTTCCTATATTTTTCAATTCCTGTATGCAAAAGAGCTCATTGTTTTCATCTCATGATTATGCTTCTAGGCGCAGGCATTGCTCGTGGATGTGATAGAGCTCGAATGTTGCATGAGACATAGGATGACTGTCTGCTTAAGTGTGCTATGCGCCGAAGCGGTTCAACAAGTGAGGCCTTGTAAATATAGTTTGTGAGATTTGAACTGTTTTGATTCTCTTTGGAAAATATCTGGCAGCCAATTTGTGTAGCATGCACCCTTAAACTACTAACCATTTGGCTATTGGGATTCACACATGCTAATAACACCGAGAAGGATTAATTTTTTGTCATTGGTATTTGTAGGAGATATAACTAAACTTTTTTTGAGGGGATATGATATAGCTCTTCTTCAAACTCATATTCATATTCATAAACTAAATAGTTACATGGTTGCTTCTGTTAGATTTTATCTTTATCTGTATTGGATTACTTGCAGATTAATGCTTTTGTGTTCTCCAGGTGAAGAAAGGGTTGCTGCAGTTTTTTTGTCGTCAATGAGTTCGGTGTGCATCAATGTGGCCATCAGTGTTTTATATTATATCAAAAAATGTGCTAAGTATGCGCTTTAGTCTAGCTAAGTTTCTAATGTAGTGAGATGCTTTTGAATACCCTAGTATGATTTCAAGTCGGATTTGATCGTCCTTTAGTTTATGCATGTGTTTGTGCTAGGCAGAGTTTCAGCCGAAACTTGTGTGTTTGAGTGTGTTTCTTGGTTGTGGCTTAGAAAGCGTGTGAGCGCCGTCGATCACGATCTACCTGTGTGCCTTCATTTTTTTTCTCATTTGCCTTAGGGTTAATAGCATGAAATTAAGGGAGAAGTGCAGCGCTGATGGAAATAACTGCTGCACTGCAAGAGCCGAGACTAGGGAGAGAAAAATGTTATTTGGCCCGAACTCACTGTATTACAGGAAGTTGCTCGAGATTTTCTTTTAATAAAAGCAACAAATGCTGGACTGGCAAATTTTTGCACAGAGAGAAAGTTGAGTCGTTGTTTGGATGGAAGAGAAGTGTGATGGCAAATGAACCCTTGAAGCACAGTTTTGCTTTTGGCGTTTACGATTGATATTATTGGTGTAGAAATTTGGATACGAGTGAGGCAGAGGGCTCGTCAGTCTCGCACCAGCAGTTTTGTGCTGAAGAAACAGGACCAGCGGGCTTGCACGCCGGTGTTACTAGTTAGTCCGGTTAGGATTAGTAGTACGTACGTGTTCATGTTGAGTCCGGCTCCAGCTAGGAGTTTGCTTGCCTGTATCCGTGTAGGTTTAGAGGATTTGTGTTAGATCCGTCAGGTCGGCTGTTATATATCGTGAGAAAAAGGAGAACAGCTTGCATTGAAACGTATCTTTTATTGAGCCACATCCAACCCGGTGACATGAGCACGGCCGAGGACGCCGGACGCCGTAGCCCGCGCCTCCATCCCCAGACCCACGCGAGCGAGGAGGGCGACGGAATGGAGCGCAGCGCGTGCCTCTGTCCCCAGGCGCACGCGAGTGAGGAGGCAGCCAGAGTGACCCGCCGCAGCTCGCCGGCGGCGCCGTCCTCGCCGCTGGAAAATGACGATCTCCTGTGGGAGGTCCTCCTCCGTCTCCCGCCGCAGCCCTCCTCCCTGCCCCGTGCCTCCGCCGTCTGTAAGCGGTGGCAATGCGCCGTCACCGACCCCAGGTTCCACCGCCGCTTCTGTGCACACCACCGGAGGCCGCCCCTCCTCGGTTTCTTCGAGGACGGCGCGGATGGTATCGTGTTCAAATCCGTCATGGACCCTCCCAACCGCATTCCTCCTCAGCGCTTTGACATGCGACTCCACGGCATTGACAATGCCCGTGGCACGGGGGTCCAATTGCTCGGGTGCCGCCACGGTCGGCTCCTCATCATGCCCTGGCAGCAAGCAGAACTTATTGTAATTGCTCCCATAACCGGCGAGAAGCTCCACCTGACGGTTCCGTCGAAATTCAAGGGGGACTGCTACTTCGATGGGGCGGTGCTCTGCGCTGCTACTGACCATGACCACGTGCACGGAAGCTGCCACTCGAGCCCATTCAAGGTGGTCTTGCTGTCCACGAGCAGATACCGAAGTGGTCCCCAGCTTGCCTTTGCATGTGTTTACTCGTCGGAGACTAGCACATGGAGCGATCTCATCACAACACCGACTCCATGTCAGCTTCGTAATATTGGTAGTTATGATGGGTCACTTATTGGTAATGCACTTTACTGGCTGTGTGGACGCGGAGATTACATATTTGAGTTTGATTTGGATGGACACAACCTAGCTTTGTTCAGAGCGCCTCCCATTATAAATCACGTCCGCCACACTTATGACAGCCGTGAGATCATCCAGGTCAGGGATGGCGCTGTTGGTCTCGCCATACTGACTCACTATTACCATAACATTGAAATGTGGCGAAGGAATGTCAATTGTCAGGGTGTTACCAAATGGGTGTTGTGGAAGACCATTGAAATGAATAGCATTCATGGGATCCCTCCTGAGATTGAAGGAGAGAGGTCAGGGTTGATATTTAGACCAAGATATGCTGAGGATACTGATGATATATTTATATATGTGGGCTGCAGTGTATATATGGTTCAACTTAAGTCGATGCAGTCGAAGAAACTTTGTGAAACCACTCATCTTCATTGTCATCATTCTTTCACGAGTTTCTATATGCCAGGTGACTATTCTTCATTAGTCCTTGTATCATAGGAGTAACTTCGTCTTGGTATGTTTTGTATATGGATGCTCGGATACCTTTGTAGACAAATGAACTTATAGACATACTGTTTAGCATATAGTTGTCTTCATCGTTGGAAGATAATAAATCAAATATCAAATGAAATGACTTATAATGTAGATTCAAATGTCAAATGGTTAACTCATTCGGTATGTTTGGAACGTCACCTAGCTATATTCTTCTATCCAGCACTGTTAATCTTGATATTTTTTGTAACTCCGTAAAAGAACTTTCTTTAAAACCACACCTTACGGAATAATAGTTTCCTTTGTCACTTGTTCAAGACTGTAATGCATGACTAGTATATTTGTAACACACCTTCTTTTTCCCGTTTGTTAACTCTAGTCAGGCTCCTTAAATACCCGATATCACTTTTTTTGGTCGTATTTATGAGTTTTGACATGTTTTTATTTTGTCTTCTTCACATGACGAGGTATGAGTTCACATGACATAAATTGTAGAGCCTGTCTTGATTTCTTATAAGCTAAATTCTTCATTATTAGAGAGCTATGGATACATTGTACTACATTTGAGAATATTGCTTGCAAGAAGCAACACATATAGTTTTGTTTATCTGTTGCCAATAGTCAACTATGAAACATAAATACAATAGTGAATTGTCTGCCTTATAATTGCCCATAAATCTACGTAACAGACTCACTATTGTCTGATCATTCTTATGCTCGTAGGCGCAGCCATTGCTCGTGGATGTGATCAATCTGAAATGCAGCATGAGACATAGGGTGACTGTCTGGTTTGGTGTGCTAATGTGCCGAAACAGGTCAACAAGTAAGGTCTTGTGAATGTAGTTTGTGAGATTTTAACTGTTTTATTTTCTCTTCGGAAAATATATGGCAGCCAATGTGGTGGCATGCACCCTTAAACTACTAATGATTTGGCTATTGGGATATCACAGAAAGACAACTAAAATGGTGGTGGCTGATGCAAAGTAAATAGTGACTCCTTTTGGATCATAATGTGAGGCAGATGATCCAAATGTTGTATTTCCAAGAGCTCTCCCATGGTTTAGCTGTTTCATGATATATAAGTTGAAAGCAATAAATTAGTAGCCATTTTGTTATTACAAACATCAGTGGCGTCATTCAACTCCGCCACCCCTCCGCTACCTAAAAAAATCATGTGGAGAAGACCGAAGAATTTATTTTGTTGTCATCGGTATTCATAGGAGATATAGCTCATCTTTTTTTAAGGGATATGGTATATCTTTCCTTTATAGTGCTGGAGTGATCATGAGTTTCCACCATACGATCCTCAACTCTTCTCTCCTCCTCACTTGGTCCAGTTCTCAGCGGGTCCGCCCGTAGCGTAGCAAGTTGTCGGCGTAGCAACCGTAGCTCCTTACGGACCGAACCAAAAGCATGACGTGCAGCAGCCAAGACCAAGAGCAGCATGACGGACGGGTGCCCAATACCACTACTTTGTCAGCCTGGCCCAACAAAAAAATCGACTCAACTGAACCAACTCCGTCCGTGTGTTCCTCTGGCTGGCGCCCCAATGAGCGCCATCCAGGATGCCGCCGGGATGGCCCCTCTCCGCCGCTGCAGCCCCAGCCTGCGCCTCCATCCCCAGGTCCACGCGATCGAGCAAGGAACCGGACTGGCTGGCCGGCGCAGCACACGCCCCCGTCCTGAAAACGACGGCACTGAGGAGGGCGCCGGAGTGATCCGCCACGGCATCTCACCGACAGCGCTGGCGTCGCCGCTTGAAGACGACGATCTCCTCAGGAAATCCACCTCCGTCTCACGCCGCAGCCCTCCTCTCTTCCACGCGCCTCCGCCGTCTGCAAGCGGTGGCGATGCACCGTCACCGTCCCCAGCTTCCATCGTGGCTTCTGTGCACACCTCAGGAAGCCGCCCCTCCTCAGTTTCTTCGAGAACGGCGCGGATGGCATCGTGTTCAAATCCGTCATGGACCCTCCCAACCGTATCCCTCCTCAGCGCTTCAAACCGCGTCTCCACGGCGTTGACAGCGACAACCGCTCGAGGGTCCGACAGCTTGGGTGCCGCCACGGTCGTGTTCTCATCATGCTCTCGCTGCAGCAGGAGCTTATTGTCATTGCCCCCATGAACGGCGAGGAGTGCCGTGTGTCCATTCCACTGGAGTTCAATAAACGCTATGTCAATGGGGCGGTGCTCTGTGCTGCTACTGATCACGCCCATGTGCACGGAAACTGCCACTTGAGCCCATTCAAGGTGATCTTGCTATCCACGAGCACCTACTATAGTGGTCCACAACTCATCTTAGCATCTGTTTACTCTTCGAAGGCTGGCATATGGGGCGACGTCATCTCAACTCCGACTCCATGTGAGCTTCCTGGTGGCGGTACTCATGGGTCACTAGTTGGTAATGCACTTTACTGGTTGTGTAGAGATTACATGATTGAGTTTGATTTGGATAGGCACATCCTAGCTTTGATCAGTGCCCCTCCCACTATAAATGAGTCACGTCACTTTTTTGACATGCGTGAGGTCATCCAGATCATGGATGGCGCTGTTGGTATCGCCATATTGTCTCACTATTACCATAACATTCAAATGTGGCAAAGGAAGGTTAATTGTCAGGGTGCTACCAAATGGGAGTTGTGGAAGACCATTGACATGCATAACATTGATGGGATCCCCCCTGGGGTTGAAGGAGTGAGGCCAGGGTTGTTATTTAGACTGAGATATGCTGAGGATACTGATGAGATATTTCTATATGTGGGCCATAATGTCTATATGGTTCAACTTAAGTCAATGCAATCGAAGAAACTTTGTGAAAGCGGTTGTGTTAGTGCTCATCATTCTTTCAAGAGTTTCTGTATGCCAGGTGATTGTTCTTCATTAGTCCTCACACGTAGTAGTAACCTAGTTATGTTCTTAAAGGGATGATCGAATACCTTTGCTATGTAGACAAACTTAAAACAATACTCTTTCATTTCATATAGCTGCACATTGTGTTGTCATTCAATATATTTGTCTTCATCCTTGGGAGATAACATATCAAATATCATATGAAATGAGCAACAATGTGAATTCAAATGTCAACTGGTGAACTCATTCGGCATGTTCGGAACCTTAGCTAGCTATATTCTTTTATCTAGTACTTTTAATCTTTCTGGTTTTCTTAACTCAATAAAACAACTTTCGTTGAAAGTGTACCTTCCGGAATAGTAGTTTTCCTTGTCACTTGCTCAATACTGTCATGCAAGTGAATGGTAGATCTATACCACTTTTTTCCGTGTTTGTTATCTCTAATCATTCTCTATTTATTTAGTTTGAATACTCAAGATCACTTTCTCGGTAATGTTTATGAGTTTTGGCACCTTTTTTTGTATTCTTGACCTGAGGGGGGTTGAGTATACATGAGATAAATTATAGGCAGTGTATCGCTTTCTTATGAGCTAAATTTTAGGTAGCTATGTATACTTCTTTTAAGAATATCCCTTGCAAAATGCAACATATATGGTTTTATCTGTTGACAGTATGAGTAGAGTAGCGAGCTATAAAACATAAATACAAAAGTGAGTTGTTTTTTATGTTTGTCAATTCATCAATGTAACAGACGACTCACTGTTGCCTTTTCATATCCATTTGTCTTTCTTTTTTCTTGGGAATTTTATTAAATGCATGCCTTATGCTTGTAGGCACAACCATTGTTGGTGGATGTGATGGATCCCATACATAGGATGACTTTCTGTTTTGTTGTGCTGAATGGTTCACCAGGTAAGAAGGATTTTTTGAATATACTTTGTGAGATTTGAACTGATTGATTTTTTCTTTGGAAAGTATCTGGCAGACACTATGGTTAGCATGCACCCATCCTCAAACTACTGTCCTTTCGGCTTATAGCGATTCACACATGGTAATAACACAGACAAGCAATTAAAATGGTGGTGATGCCAAGAAAAGTAACTCCTTTTTGGCCATTAATGATATCCAGATGATTCAAATGTTGTATGCCCGAAGTTCTCTCTTGGTTTAGCTGTTCCGGAATCTATAGGTTGACAACAATATATTATTAACTCATCTTGTCATTACAAACACCAGTCACATCATTCAACTCCGTCACCCAACAAATACATGTGTAAAGGCTGAAGGTTTATTTTGTTGTCATTGATATTCCTAGGAGATATGGCCAGTAATATGATGATACGTCTTTTATCGAAAAAGGCTTTTGCCCCGCTTTATATATAAAGCATCAACCACCAACAAACGGACCCAATACAAACCACAACACACAACACGAGAACCACACTCTACTAGGGCCAGATACATAGGTGTCAAAGGGCTACAACAACACCACACCGACAGACTCGACGTAGACAACAAGAGAAGACAGTAAGCATCACTACGAAGCCGTCAGCGCCCTTCCGATGAGATCACGAAGAGGTGAAGTTGAGAATCATCGACACCGTGCATACCAAGATGGAGCCTTCAGGAAGGGCACGACACTGTAGTGCCGCCACCGCCCGATCCAGAGATCGGATTTTCATCCGGAGCACGACGAAGGGAGGGAGAAACCACAACAGAGACTTCAGGAAGATGACGACGCCCACAGACGCCGCCTCCGTCGGTCTGGCCTAAACAAGACAGGGTTTCACCCCGCTAAGCATTCTCCGCCTTCGTTAGGACGACGAAATGCCTACCACCACACCTCCCACGCGGCCATGGCGGCTAGCCGCCCACACCTGAGCCGCGGCCTCAGCCCACTAGCACTGCGGCTCCCACCACCAGGGCCGCCGCCCAAGAAACAAGACGCTTGAAAGGTCCTCCATGGCTGTAGGCGATGAGCGACCGGCAAGCACCAACCACCGACAGAGCTGCCAGCGACAGGAACGGCCAAATCGATCAGGGAGCGACCAGGTCGGAGAAGAGGCGAGGCGGGAGCGGACTACGTCAACGTCCGGCACCCCTGCCGGTGCCGGGTGGCCCGACCGCATCGGCGCCACCCATCTCTCCTACCACCTCTCCAAACGTCACCCCTGACGACCAACCCGGACTCCCAGCTTGGATCAGAACCTGGCCCAAACCGGCCACCCGCTCAACGGCGCGAGGAGCCGGACCGGCCACAACCTACATCCACGAGAGAGACCAACAGCATCCCCAAAGGCCGCACGCAGACGAGCCGACGCCGGAGAGCCCAGCCGCCGCTGCGCCACGACCTGTACACCACCATGAGCTGAACCACGCCGACGCAACACCGCCGCCATGAGCCGACCCATGCCACCACCACTACTAGGGAAAAGCATAACAGCATCGCGGGTTTTAGGCCTATCAGTAGCGCGGGCTGGAGCGCTACTGGTACGACGCTACATCTAAAGGTTAGCAGTAGCGTGCCTCAACCCACCATGCCGTGGCCGCCCAAATCCCCCGAGGACCACCGTAGCACCGGAAGCAGCAGCTGGCCGCGCGCCACCGTGGTCCACGCCCTACGCCACAACCACGCCCGGTCGTGGCCAGCCCCCGCACTGCCAGCCAGAGGAGAGCCCCCAGATCCAGATCGATTTGGGCCTCCGCCGCTGCCAAGCCCGCACCGCCGCCTCCGCCACCACGAGCGCAACCCCGACGACCACCGTACATAGCCCACCACGCCGGGGAAGCAGCCACCTTCGCCGCCGTGCCCCACGAAGCACCGTGTCCCCGACCGGCGAGGTCATCCCGCGCCGCCCACCACCGTTCGAGAAGGAGAGGAGGCCCCGCCGCCGCCGCGGCCGGCTGGGCTTTGCTCGCCGAGGAGTGC